GATTGCTATCGGGATGTGAAGAGACTTTCAACCAGCATAACAAAAATGTTTCTGAAGACAATCACCTATTGCGCCTTTAATAAACAGCTTGAATATTCGATTTCTACATGTGGGTGGGAATTAAACGCCCCTTTCTGCTGATTGGTCAGCCGAAAATCAAACCGTGCCTTCATCAGTTCTTCAGCAGAATCACGCAGCAGAATAATAGTCATCCACTGCTGCAGTTGTACGGATTAATAACCGGTTTTATTAATTTCATATTTTTCATCAAACAAACAGACTAATGAATAGCTCGACACAACTCGTACAGGGGCAGAGTCTAGACAGGTCTTTCTTCTGTGTAGACCAGCGGTTCTTAAAGTGATAGGGGGTCCAAGAAATAATTTGCTATAGCCTAAAGTATTTCCAGACTGTAAAGTATTTTTCTACTTTCAATATTAAATCAAAAAACGAATGATCGAATGATACACGGATTGATATTGTTCCATAAAAATGAGAATCGATTAAAATCGAGAGATTTTTTTACCCAGCCCTATTTTCTAGTATCAGATATTTTGAAAGTGTACGATTCCTGCATTTCTTGCTTAACCAGTTGACTTAGCATTTGAGACTGAAGTTCTTTTCTTTTGCTTAGGGCAAAAACAAATTGTGGATTCCAGTGTCGACCTAAGTGAAGATTGAGGTAATTTATGAAAAATACTTTGAGGATTTCTTTTAAACACAAAGTAGTCACTGTACTGATCGAGAAACATTAGAACGATAATGATGGGCTGCAAATGGTACAAGATGTGTTAATCATGATTATGTAAAACAGGGATATCAAGGGAGATGTGCAATGTTTACAGCTGAATGAGTATTTGTAGTGACCCACTACAGTTGCATGGCAATGGTAGGTGTGGCAAAGTGTTTGAAGGTATTCAGGAGGGGGACCTTGGTCAAAAATCCTTCCGGAGCTGGTAGACGTAGCCTCAGATGGGAGACAATTTGCTGAAAATGCAAGGAGGCTTTGGGCTGGACTTGAAAAGCTTTGGACACATGAAGGCAGCAATGCGTGCTGGCAAGAAAATATGAAGCTCCCAGCAAGAGGATTAGGACATCACTGCATGCATACCTGTCATGATCGGGTTTGGAGAACCCCCATATCTCAATGTATACTGAAGGCTGTAAACCCCAGGTCCAACCAAAGATTCCTCTATCAAAGCCTTCCTCCCAAAAGCTGACTGATACTCCCCCAAGGAGCCAAATAGGAATGGTGGCATGGCCGCAGAGCCTGCATTTAAGATTCCACCATTTCAGCGGCTTCTTACCAACTAAAACTCTCCATTGTACAGATATAAAAAGACAAACGGGTTATTGATATGGTTACTCTATTATTTAGGGAAATGTTGTAGCTTAACGCATTTTAACATCTGAAGAAATTAAAAGTAACATTGTTTGAATGCCAAATTTCACAATTTGTCAATCTCTACTCAACTGCTTCTCTCAGGGGAGCACTTTCATTTTGGAACAGGGGACCTCAGAATGGTGAACCTTCTCACCACCAGACAAAAACTATTTGTTTCCTGTGGGGACATAGTAGGCATTCCAACTACTCTTAAGGTTTCAGACCCAACTCAACCATTGATCTTCAGGAACTAAATCAGGAATTGAGTTTTTTCTTTCAACAGAATAATATCCCTGACCAAACTCTATGACCCCTTGGGAAAGAATAAAATCATTTGGTTCTGCATAGGACACAATCCCCTTGAACACAGGAAACAAAAATGAATCTTACCCGGGAGTAACTAGACTTACACAATGCAAACACTTATCATGCTTGTTTTGGGGAGAGCTTCAAGAGCACTGGAGAAGTGTTACAAAGAGAAGACCCGGAGCACCACTGCTGGCATCGGAGATGGTTGGATAAAACCTGGTAGTGTTGAAATCGGCTCTAAAGCAACTTGAAGCCACTTGGACTGGCTTCAACCCTTTTACAGTGTGAACACATTACAGACTTCAAATGAAACAATTAATGTAAATGAAGACAGAAAGAGGCACTTTACCTCAGTGGTGTAACTTTCAAAAGGAAAACGGTGTAGGTCATTTCTTATGTATGGCCAAGCTCAAGCACAAACCAGGTTTAATTTGTACCATTTTCAATAGTATTTTCTCCAATTCAAAAAGGTGCAAACATTGTTCTACCAGCATTAACATCTAGCACCATCTCCACAGTGCCAACAGATGGGCTCTTTAGGTTGTCAAAATCAGCATGAAATATTAATCTGATAGGTAGTCGGTTAATGTGAGCAACGTCTTTTCCAACCTCCATCCCGGGTGTTTTCCTCTCGGATGACGGGCGAGGTGAGGGTGATGGTCACCTGCATCTTGGGCTCAGCGGAGGAGGTAAGGATAATGGCAGCCTCTTGGACGGAGCCTTTTACCTCATATTTCTCCGGAGTTACCACCTGACAAACACATGGGTTAGCAGAAAACGAAGTTACGCCCACCTAATTGAGATCTGGCAAACCCTGACCCAGTCCTGTTCCTGGAGGGCCAATGTCTTGGAGAGTTTAGCTCCAACCTGCCCCAACACACATGTCTGGAAGTTTCCAGTTATCATGAATATGCTGACCAGCTGGCTCAGGTGTATTTTATTAGAGTTGGATCTAAACTCTGCAGGACAGTGGTCCTACAGGAGCAGGATTTGACACCACTGCCGTAGAGCATTTGAAAAAACAAGTATAAATTTAAAGGAAAACTTGTGGGAAGATCTAATATTATTGCAGTTTGCACTGCATTGAACCGGTACCGTGAGCTGTTTGGGAAGATGTTCCACAATGCGTGTTAGCAGATTCTTGGTCGGCTTCTCAGAACAAAGGAGGACCAGGTTGACATTTTTGTCTCCACGTAGAAGCAGCCCTTTGGCAAGAACGCCTACCCGCATCACTCCCTTCAGCACTCTGCAATGCACAAGAGGTCATGTATTGCTTTACCCTTTTCTTTCTCTCTGCTTTGAGAAACATTAAAGCACTCTTCTCCCACCTGTCTTTGGGAGGCTCTTTCTTTTCTTTGTCCTCTTCTTTGCCCTCTGCACTTGCATCTTGGTCTGTGATGATGTCAGAGACAAGCTTAAGTGCTCGTTCAGTGATTGATACGATCTTCTGGATGGCCTGGAGCTCATCCTCAGATGGGTAAATAGCTGCATGTTTGGTCATCACATAACGATCATCTGAGGAATCAGGGCGACGTGGAGGCTGCAACAAATACTATGTGTTATGAACCAGTTGTGATAAATACATTTCAAGTGGTAGATATAGTAGTGATATCTGAATTGATATTCCAATAAACACTCCTAGTGTGTAATGCAGGTATTATTCAGCCATTTTTCAATGTATAATGGAGCTATGATTATTATTCTAGTCAACAATATCTACTACTTGAGACAGGAAGGGTCTGTCTGACCAGCATGTAAAGCAACCAACCCTCCTGTTCAAGTCTCTGTCACTTTTGATCAATGTAATGCACCTTTGCTGAATGAATGCAGTTATTAATAAATCTTACAGAACTTACAGATTCCAAACGTTTTAAATGGTACTGTACCTCAAACACAAACCACGTTTTGGCAAATTCATCAGGGTTTTCCGCAGTAGTAGTAGTTCTCAAGACTTACCACTGGTCCTTGTGGTTGAGGAATGGGCATCCCAGGCCTCACTCCAAGAAGACCAGGAGGTCCAGGTGGACCCTGTGGATAACTTCCATCAGGCATTCTGCGCCTTTCCTCCCAGTGGTGCTGTTCTTCCTCCATACGTCGCCAATACATGTCCTCTTCATAGCGCCTGAGAACAATTACAATATTTAAGACCTCAAAATGCTCATGTGTAGATACTGACATATTGGAGGAGGAAAAAAAGCATCACACCTCATCTCCATCCTCCAGCGCTCCTCCTCTTCACGTCTTCTCCAGTATTCTTCCTTTTGCATCTGCTTCCTCATCTTTTCCTCTTGGATTTTCCTGGCTCGGATGCTAGGTTTCACTTCCACCTGGAGTTCTGGGTTCACCTTTTTCTACAATGGTGGAATATACAATCAGCTACACTGACAAAACATCACATCAATTTCGATTGTTCTGCATTTATAATAAAAGAACCACTGCAAACAACAAGTCACTTACTAACCTTATACTGCAGTCGATGTCTCCTTCCTTTCAAATGCATTTCTTTGGCATTCGGGTCATTGAAACTGCATTCACACAGTTTGCAGTGGAACCGGATAACCTTTCCTTCATCATTCCTTACCTGAAAAAAAACAAAAAAACATTTTGTTTGCACTTGGCTTAACCGCTTTAAAGTGACTTTCATTTCCCTATTGGAACTTTTTTCCTGATACCTCTTCAACATAATCGTGTCCAACGGGCTGAACATCACTCTGCAGGGCTGCAAGTGCTGATTGAGGTGACAGAGGGTCAGGCATTTCATTCTTTGGGTCCGATGGTTGTGCAGACACTGCGGACTGTGCTGTTTTAGCTGCCTCCATCTTGGATTCTTCATTTTTAACAGCAGTGGTCTGTAACTTGTTTCCACCTGTTTTGTTAATGCATCAAAGCAAATACTGTATTGTGTTAAATTATATAATAAATTAAAACAAAAAAGGTAAACATCAAAAATAAATATGAACTGTTCTGTAAATGTTCATCACATCAATTTCGATTGTTCTGCATTTATAATAAAAGAACCACTGCAAACAACAAGTCACTTACTAACCTTATACTGCAGTCGATGTCTCCTTCCTTTCAAATGCATTTCTTTGGCATTCGGGTCATTGAAACTGCATTCACACAGTTTGCAGTGGAACCGGATAACCTTTCCTTCATCATTCCTTACCTGAAAAAAAACAAAAAAACATTTTGTTTGCACTTGGCTTAACCGCTTTAAAGTGACTTTCATTTCCCTATTGGAACTTTTTTCCTGATACCTCTTCAACATAATCGTGTCCAACGGGCTGAACATCACTCTGCAGGGCTGCAAGTGCTGATTGAGGTGACAGAGGGTCAGGCATTTCATTCTTTGGGTCCGATGGTTGTGCAGACACTGCGGACTGTGCTGTTTTAGCTGCCTCCATCTTGGATTCTTCATTTTTAACAGCAGTGGTCTGTAACTTGTTTCCACCTGTTTTGTTAATGCATCAAAGCAAATACTGTATTGTGTTAAATTATATAATAAATTAAAACAAAAAAGGTAAAAATCAAAAATAAATATGATCGGTTCTGTAAATGTTCTGTAAGAACATAACACTGATTCAGCAAGACATACCAACAAAGTTGATCTTGGGTGTGTTGACCTTCTTGACAGAGGTGCTGTTGGCCGAGACACTGTTGGGCACTGGGCTCTTGCCCTGTGCAGCTGAAGCTGCCATGTTGTTGACCATGCTGCCAGATTTTAAGTAAGAGGCAGAAACAGAGGAAGCAGAGAGATTGGACGATGTGCCTGTGGAGCTGCTGATGTTGGAGCTGGCAGTTTTATTAGAAGCAGCTGTACTGGAGGTGGAGGATTGGGAAACAACACTGGGCTCTGTGGATGGTATTGGCTTTCCTAGTTTGGTATGCAATTTCACAACCTATAGAAACAGAATTCAATTAGATACTAGGCACATATAATCAATATCCCACCCACATGCACATCACATTTTTACTTATTACAACTTGGCTTTACATAATCGAGTATGCTTGTACTAATGCGGCATCCATTCCCCTTCAAACAACTTCCCACTGCATATTGTAACAGATAAGAGTCCCTAAGAGGCAAGGCCTCTCTACAACGGAGAGCCAGAATCATACGCATTCAAAAATAGTGCTGCCAAAAAACATGCTGATAGCAGATTAATATGTGCCGAGATCAGAGAGTGAGTCATGTACCTTCTGGTGTTTGGCTCCTCTAATGTGCGCGGCGTACGCATCAGCTCCAGTACAGGAGACGTCACAGAGCTCACAGCGTAGCTGATTCTGTGTGCCGCGGGCGGAGCTCCCACCTCCGCTGCTGCTACTGCTGCTCTGTGACAGCTTCAATGCGGCTTCCTTCTTTTTGTGCTTCTGACCCTCCAGATGCTCCTTATAGGTCTGAAAGCAGGTGATAAGATATACAAGTGCCATAATTCATGCAAACCATTTATTATGAGTATTTAGGAAAACACTAGCGTCTGGGCACTCAGTTACACATAATACACAAACAACAGCAATAAATTTATTATAATAAAATACCTGGGGTCCAGCACAGCTGATCTTGCAGACATCACAGTAGTGTATCTGTGGTGGTTTAGGGGGCTGTTTAGGTTTGAGTGTTTTGTTCTGCAAGGGAGTTTTCTTTGTATAAGTGCTGCCTGTCCACGCGGCAGTGGCTGCTGCGGCGACGGCCGCCTGTTTCTGCTGCTGTTGCTGCTGCTGCTGATAGTAGGAGGAGGCAGCTGAATACACTGCAGCTTCATAGCCAGAGTATGACGTTCCTGAATATACAGAGAGGAGCAATTATTGGCCACAGTACAGACTGAGATTGACAGGATTGCACTGTAAATCTATAAGCCTAGTTCATGTAGACCAATTGGTAGAGCATGACCCTAGCCAGGCCAAGCTCATTGGTTTGGTTCAGTATTACTACTAGCAAAAACATTTCACTTGCATTCTGTTCAGTTCCGATCAAATAAACTACTCAACGACCAGGGCTCAGTGTGCATTTCATGACATCAAACATTTTGGAATAGAACAATGATGTTCTTACCAGAGTATGTGACTGCATTGGTGCTGTAGGTGGGACTCTGAGAGTATGACGGGACTACAGAGGCAGCCGCCGCAGCTGCAACCGGCTGTACAGCAGAGGACACTGGGTAAATGGAGAAGGTTGAGGTGGCAGGTCTAGGGGTGGCTGGCTTTATGGCTGTAACCTGACGCGTTTGCTGGGTCTGGGTGTACGGAGTGGCGCCTTGGCTGTATCCAGTTTTAGGGGCTAATGGGACGAGTAAGACAAAGTTGTACAGAACATTTTACAATACAGATCATTTAAAGGGTGACCTGGAGAGGATTATTGATTTAATTCTGTGCCCCTCAGATGGCATTCCTTCAAAATAATGGAATGGGGATAAATGAAAAAAATGCAATTTGATTCCATTTTAATTTAAATAAAATAAATTAACTAAAATTAAAAATAAATTAAATCAAATGTTACAGTTTTTAATAGAACACTAAGGCCTTTAATATTTGGTAATAAAAAGCAATACAAGATCATTTTACGGAAAAGCAGAAGCATGAAAATTTAGTGTTTATTGCAAAACATTTCTTCCCATTTAAATGCCAAGACATACCTGTCTGATAGTAGGATTCGGCCACAGTGGGTGGTGGCTGGGCTGCTGCAGCGGCTACAGCCGGTGTAGCTGCAGGTTGCTGGTAGTATTGTTTACTGTCATACGCTACAGCCGGAGCTGTGGACCGCACATATGAATAGGAGTCCTGCAACAGTAAACAAAAGGCTCGTCTTTTCTTAGCCATTCGACATTGATCTGACTCTCTTGAAATTGAGAATGCATTTCAGAAATAAAGATACACATAGATACAAAAGTTTGGGGTCAGTAAGATTTTGACAGAAGCCATTTATGCTTACACCAAAGCAGCATTTGTGTTATCAAAAATACACTAAAAACAGCAACATTGTGAAATGCTACAATTTGAGAGAAATGATAATGATAGTTTTAGTCATTTATTCCTGTGATGGTAAAGTTGATTTCAGCAGCCAGTACCTGTCTTCAGTGTCCCATGATACTTCAGAAATCAAATATGCTATTTTTTTTTCCCCCAATAAAAGTGTATTATTAAATGTTAAAAAGAGCTATGCTGCTTGTTTGTTTTTTTTTCCAGGAAATAACTTGTAACATTATAAAGTCATTAAGTTTCATTTTGATCAATTTAATGCATTTCAATAATTAATGCATAATAATAAAATGTATTATTATTTCTTGCTGAATAAAAGTAATAATTTCTTTGAAAACAAATCTTGCTGACCCCAAGCTTTTGAAGAGTAGTATGGGAAAGACTCAAGGTGACATAAACGGCAAGTTTCTCCTCTCTTTTACCTGGTAGTTTTGTGAGGTAACAGGAGGCGGTGGTGGGGGTACCTCCGGCTGTCTCTGTGCATACCCATAATCCGTGGCAGCGTGGGCTGGCTGGTATCCTCCATAAGCGGAGGATGCACCAGCTACTGCAACTGGTGCAGGCCTAGCAACAGCAACCGTGGCGGCTGTAGGGGCGTAGGCTGCTGCCACCGTGTGTGCCGCCACAGGTGCTTGATGTACAGTATAGCTGGCCACTGTTGTGGGGTGGGTGTATGCTACCCCAGCGGCCGGCTGCTGACTGCAGAGGAGAGGACGAGAGGCTTAGATGACAACACTGACAGCTATGCATACTCACAGTGCTGACCTGGCGCAATAGCATTTATTAAAAAAATAATAATAAAAATACACACACAGGACTACCATTCAAAATAAACTGACGGAAGCAAAAAGGTAACATTTGTGAAACAACATACAAAATCTAACCTACTAATAATGACCTTCAATGTAATTTTAAGACATTCACGTTAACAACCAATTCATGCCATAACAGATTATCTTTCAGGAATTCATTCATAATCGTCTTTCCTGATTGCTGGACTTAAAGGGGTCATATGATGCGATTTCAATTTTTCCTTTCTCTTTGGAGTGTTACAAGCTCTTGGTGCATAAAGAAGATCTGTAAAGTTGCAAAGACTAAAGTCTCAAATCCAAAGAGATATTCTTTATAAAAGTTAAGAGTCAGCCACGCCTACCTAAAACGGCTCGTTCTAACACGCCCCCACATAGTGATGTAGATATTTAGAAGATTTGCATAACGCCCCCCAAATGTTCACGCAAAGAAAGGCGTAACTTTTATTCTCGCTGTAGTATTGTTGCCGCCACCGCCATGCCGTGAAGGCGCTGTGTGTTTCGTTGTGAAAGCAAAACTACTTTGTTTGGCCTTCCAAAAAGAGGACTTAGCTGGCCAATCACAGCACACCTCGCTTTTTAGAACGATGCGCTTTGTAAAAATCGACGCGTTTCAGAAAGGCGGGGCATAGAGGAGAAACAATAATGTACAGTATGTGGAAAATAATGTGTCTTTTGAACCTTGAACCGCATAAACATTTCATTACACCAAATAATGTTCTTTTTAGCAGCATCATATGACCCCTTTAAAGTACCAAATATCCATTGGCTTGACAGGGAACATACATGTAGAGGAAGAAAATCAAATCAGATACGGATTAAATGATTTAGTGCAGCCCCGATCTGGTAACTCCCATTACTTTCCTGCAGAGATCTATACTTGAAACATACCAATACTAGGGGGTAATAATCTGGCAGGGATCAGAATTCGGCAAAACACTGGCTCCAGGACATTTCCCGATCCCAAACAACCCCCCCTTCCCCCACTTTACTTCCTGTCTGCTCTTCACGGTCATATTATAATAAAGTCAAATGTCAAAATAAATAAACCTAAATAAATAAAATATTCTTTAAATCTACTACTACTATCCATCCATCCATGTATAAAATGCAGACACTTCCAAACTGTCAAGCCATCAGTGTCAATGGAATGCTGACACCTGTTAGGAATATCAAACACCAAGCTGAGGGAAAACTGCTCAGAAATATGATCCAGCTCAGAAGTAACTTCACATCACGGCTATTTTGACAAATGGAGGCATGTTCTTTCATTGTATGGCACATTAAGAAAAAACGCCTAAACAAGAACATTAGGATTAAGTTACTTCAAAGAAAACTTAAACTGAAAAACGTCAACCTAGGCCGAATAAACTCTCGAAAAAGCGGATCAGTAGTGACATACAAGGAGTCCTTCAAGGCGTCCGTGAAGACATTGCCCTTCCCCACACACACGAACACATTTTGTCAATTATTCAGCTAAAATTAAAATCAGTGATTTTAAACAAACGTTGAAGTGTCAAAACGAGTTTTTAAATAGTGTTGGACGACCATATACATTCGCCTTTTTGCGTTTCCGTCTTAAAAACACTTGAGTGTAAAGAAGACCGTTGAGATGGACGGTCATGCGCAGAGCCGCTCTAGTGCAGAGCTGGAGGAGAGATGACAGCTGCAGTCTGAGTCTGCTCGCTTTACTTTGGCCGCACTGGCTAGACTCAACACTTTATCCAAACACCGCAAAACAAGAAGTAGTTCACAATGTTAATATCTTTTAAAAAATAAAAAACACGTCCCCTGTAGCAGATAAACCCTCAGAGATAAGCGTCGCGTCTGTTTATGAGGCAACCAGATCTGATATTAACATAAACAGTAGGCCTATTTATTATTAGTTACAAAACAAAATGTGAAATATACAACTAAAATGTACAGATATTAAAACAACTATTTACTTTAAACTATGATTACACGGGTTTAAACTGCGCACCTGCGCTGGCACGCCGGTTGTTTATATAAATAGAAATTGAATCAAACTGTATAGCGGTACAATATCCTCTTGTTTGTAGTTTATCCAATAATTTCAATTTCTTTGTAAGATGCCCGCCCAAAACACTAATAAAAACTCAAGTGTCAATCTCGCTCCCAAGCAAAATAAAATAAACAACGCATTACTGGCTAACATTATATTATAAACATAAGGATTTAAAATGGCATGTAATAATGCATCGTTTGCTCTCCAGCAGTTCATTTGAAGGTTTAAAGCATAGGCAATCGCCTCTCTCCCCTACCACCACCCGGACCAAGCAACAAAGGCAGAGAGGCCAAATCCCACCATTATTGTATCACCACGATCACCGCAGTCCCCATTAAACATCTCGGCCCTTACCTGTACTGGGCCGCAGCAGCACCATGGGTAAATCCAAAGTAGTTGCCGGTAGCCATTTTGACATCTTCACCTAGCCGGCTGGGCACTGAAAAAAAGGAAATATTCATGGAGGGTAAGCGACAGTGCGCAATGGCAACCATGATGAAGAGCCGTATCATGCAGAGGAAGAAAACACGCAGGAGACTACGACGAAATAAACCCCACACCCATAACATGATCTTAATCACGTCCTCTCTTGTCGAAATCGCGTCTAATGTCTCGATGTGTTTTTAAAAACCTAATTTTACTCACCATAGGTGAAGGAGACTACTGGACATATGGGAATCATTGGTTTCCTATTCTCTTACGAACTCTGACTCGTATCCCTGCCTTTTTATATGAGAAGGTCGTAACCAGGATATAGCGCTTACCGCACATGCGCGTTCGAACGTTGCGAGAGATGGGAAGTGTAGTTTTTCTTACAAACCATTTCAAGGTCGATGAGTACAGCTTTTGATCCAAAAACACACGACATATAACTTTGTGTATGATTGTGATTAGGAAGTGATATAGGACTGACAATAATGTGAACATGTAACATAACTTAAAACAGACTGTGAAATAATTAAAATGCTGAGTAAATTTAAATTACGGTAATTAATTCAGTTGTGGCTTTTTGAATGTACACCAAATTTTAACTCTGATGTTTTGTATTTTAATTTTACAGTAGTGACCATTTTTGTTCACCATATGTGAGTGAATTTAATCATTCACTCAACCAATTCTTTAAGAATACAAGGTTGATAAAATGTCTATTTATGACTAAAAAATTCTCCCTCCGCATGCAGATTACGCTGGTAGCCAACAAAATTATTCATGCCAACACACCCCAGAAATGTTAAAGCCTCATATTAAAAAATATATTCATATGAGTTTTATCAACGTCATTGCATTAAAACATCAATAATTCTCCACCACTTTGGCACTTTTATGTGAACGAGTTTGACGAACATTCAGTTCTCCATTATAGATCAGTGGTCTGAACATAGAACGAGAAGCATTCGTTCACTTTAAAGATTTGTTGTTACTGTGGTTTGCATTGAAGAAAAACTACATTTCCCACAATGCACTCTGAGACGTTATTAGCCATATGGTTGGTAATCGATTCCTCGACTTCCCGCCGCTGAGCGAGACTGACGCTGCAGTGCACAACGTTAAACGTAAGTCCTATTCAATTCATACTAAAGCTAATAGTAAACGGTCTATTTTAAACACGCACTTGTTAAATAAATGCACAGCCATGAAGAATCATATAAAGACCAGCCATACAAAACCGCTTCTAATATGAATGTGTTATCCAGGGCCTATCTTTCCACCTTAGTTTTGGGATGCAGAGGCCCATAATCAGCCCCGCCATACTCGCCGGTGTTGATGTACACGAGTTAGTTTTGCTTGAACAAACAAATTAAGTAGTTTGATGTCGTCTATTCTCGTATATGGAGGCAAATCGGTGAAGCGAAGTCATTATCGATCGGCATCAAGCCTTTCTCTTGCTTGATGGCTCTTTTCGACCAAGATGGCAATCCTCTCTCTCGTGCTCAGCGATCGGCGGAGGGGATGCTGCTGGAAGTTTGTAAAAATCAATGCAAAATTCATATAGTCTGAGTTTAAAAAAAAAGCAAAAACATTTACAAAGTGTATGCAGCAAGGCTGCACAATGTAGCTAGCCCTACAGTTTAAGGCTATGAAATATGTGTAGCAGGTTTTTATAAGATTTAATTTGGTACTTTTTGAGATCCAATTGGTCTTCTAAATAAACTAGTGTTTCCGCAGTTATGATGGAAATTCTGGGAATATCAGGGAATCTCACAATTGGATTCTAGGTCAGAGAAAGTCTGGGAAATTAATAAAATATTAAAATAACCCCCACTGTGTCTGTGCTCATGTTTGGTTTTTTTTTCACCCATAGCAATATGCTTCATAATTGTTAGTAAGTAAACTATTACTATTGATAAGTAAACCTTTTAAATAATTTGGAGTCATTGAAATTATTTGTTCTGAGGAATCACTTAAGTGTTTTTAGAAACAATATTGTGTGACTCCTGTGCATTGATGACACATGTAGCTAATATAGATATGGCATTTGTTATTTAGAGAATTTTTCTATTATTAAAGAATCTACATTTTTTAGTATTCATGTATTTCACATTTACATTGTTTCAAAAACTACAAGACCATTTCATTAAATTCTGTGATGTAGCAGTTAGTATAAAGCACAGGTTTTCACATCAAGGGTCCCTTGCTAAATAGAGATTGAGCTGCTGTTATATACAAAATAAAGCCATACATACCTGGAAAAATGTGTATTCACTACTGAAATGAAGTTCCATAAGTGGCATTGAGGGGGCAGTGTTGAATCATATTTTACATGAAATTGTACTTGTGTTCAACTTCAGCAGCATGCCTAAGTCTAAAGAAGTGCTGTCTTCCACTTCGAATAGTGGTTCGGACAGTGATACAGAAACAAAGGTATGAACACTGATTTACATGAATGCAACAAAATTAATATAGCCTTTCCAACTGGAAAACTAAGTTTATGCTTCCTGACTTGAATTTAACTTGAAATCAGCAGTGGATATTTAATCTGAATATGTGCTGCAGGCCTGAAAGGTCATGTGTTTGTTTTTGTCTCCTTATTTCTACCAAAGGCCAAAAGAAAGAAGGCAAGTGCTCCTGAGAAGCCTGCTAAAAAACAGAAAAGTGGAGAGACCTCCAAACCCAGCGGCTCAGCTAAGAGTGACAGAAACAATGATGATAACTTGTTCCAGGTTGAGTTTTTCAGCATTTTTGTCCTGACCGCCCTATCAGGGTTTATTAATGACCAAATGATTATACATTATCCCATATGCAGTAGAACTGCTTACCAAATAAATAAATGCATGGACATGTAATATTGATCTGATGTTAAATTATCTTGTAGATTAGTTTAACATCAGTTTATAAAATATATTATTATTATTGATCTGTAATGCAACTTTACTTTTCTTTTTACTTTTTTATTAGTAACACATCTCTTATCAGGTTCTTTTTATTCCGGTTTATGTAAATTCTATGTAAGAACTCCTACAGAATACCAGTAACCAGCAATTTCTTCTATTTTAGATTTATTTTTGAATGTTTTGAGTGTAATAATGAAAGTCTAGTATGATTTGAGCTATTATTTACTGTCCCTGGTGGCTCATTCATGTTTTGATATGTGACAGATTGGAAAGCTGAGATACGTCAGTGTCAGAGATTTCAAAGGCAAGGTTTTGATTGACATTCGAGAGTACTGGATGGACCAAGCTGGTGAGATGAAGCCTGGAAAAAAAGGTAATTATGGGGCCATTTATTTTTCTCCCAATTTATTTGATGTATTTTTGTGTCATTCTACTTTGACCTCTTAGTCAAACAAATATCTTTCAGTGCAGGTAAAATGTTCCTGTGTGTATTACGTTTTATTATTATGCCATAGTAGTTTTGTTCCATCAATTGTATTGAATTACCCTTAGGCATTTCATTGAATCCTGAGCAGTGGAATCAGCTGAAGGAACAAATGTCGGACATCGATGATGCAGTTATAAGATTGTAAGAGCTATTTGTGCAGTGAATGGTTGTCTGGCTCTTTTTAGAGTTCTATACTTTGGTACACAGGGACTTTAACAAAATGTTTCTTGTTTCAACTTGTGTTATATGTATGCTGTTCAATTTGAAGAGACGTCTTTTGTTATGTTATTGTTAATATCCAGTTGTCTGCTGTTAAATGTTGATGTGTGTGAATAGTAAGTCTTGACTGGGTGATTGTTCTTTTAATAGTACAATAGCTGCATTGTTCTCATACTCTGCCTACATAATAAAGGCTTTTTTTGGTTTGGAGTCTTTAGTCTGGTGTTTTTTTTTTTGAGTATAAAAATATTAACCATGTTATGTTTTGTTCCCTATATCATGTTAAAGTGCATATTTTTAAACTGGAATTTGTTGTGATCCTGTCAATAAACAGCAGTAATGGATGACCTAAAATGAAGGCGTTTGGCACTTTATGATGCTTGTTGTGTCCAGTCCTGAGTGCTTGTGTGTAATTTGCTCGCCTTCGCGTGGGAGCAGGAATTATAATGGTCCGTACACCCACTCAAACATAGACCAGACTCCAGAATAAAAACAGCCCTTTCACTTGACTGTCCAGAAGAGCCATCTTGCATCAATTGCATTTGCTGTCTAAATTAAATCACTCTTAAATCATGGTAGCCACTGTATTGCCAGCACGTCTTTGAGACAATATGGTTTATGGTGTTGCGTGCAAAGCAAGCATTATTGGGGTAGTTTCTGTACGAGGTAACCACAGTGCAAGCACATTTTTTTTGAGATGCAGAGGTTCATACTGTGAATAAACATTTATAAAATTAATCTACTTTTATATTGTGTGTATATATATAATTGTTATGTTAGTATCAACTTAATTTCAGAATTCATTGACTGAACAGCATTTCTACATTAAGACATTTTGTGCAATAATGGTACATAAACTATAAATATATATGTATTTCAAAATGTGCATCAATTCATATTATGACTGTTTCTTGAATATCAAATGCATCCTAAGGTTTGAACATAAAGCTGTGCCTTAGAAAATAATATTTCTTTTTCTGTTTCACTGCTTGCACTTCAGGTGGTGGTTACAATGGAGATTACTTGGTTCATTTTAGTTCCTGAGAGGTAATAATTTCATGTTCCGATTGAACCAGCTTTTCACTCCCAACTTCAATTCTGTGATCAAACACCAAGACATGAACTATGAAACATCAAAAAATGGCAGTCTCTAAAACCTTCTAAAACCATGAGTATGTCATGTACACCTGTTAGTGTAAAGCTAATGTTTGTGTGTAAAACTGATCAAAAGAAAATGAAACATTTTATTGGTGGCCAGTGGTCACACTATGTAGGCCTGAGTTTGGTGTGGTGTGTATGATTTCATACTAGATGTTCTGTTTAATAGAGTAAAGTTCCTTAGATTAAAATGGACCATGCGCATTCATATTTGTCAAAATTGCCCAATAGAAAGGTATCACTAGGTGGCACCAATGCTCTATTGAAATAGAATTTATCCTGCTAGTTTTTGGACAAGAAAACCATCCTCAACTTGTCAACGTTTTTAACAATGACACAAAGTTCTCCTTAAAACTGACTGGCCATTGTAGAGTACAAATTTCCATTTTATACAGTTAAGGTCGTAAATTCTGCTTCGTACCCTTTCTATCAATATGACAATTCTGATACCAGACAGCGTGTTTGTGGCTTACTAATGTGAATTTCTTTCCATCACATGTTAGTTGTTGATAGGAAAGGAATTTGTTTCACAAGTCTTGG